AGGTCTCGTAGAGAAAGTAATAGTCCTATGTTCCCCACAAACACTACAATCAGGGGCAGGTCCATTGGTGATACACCCGGGACAATTTACCTTTACCCCTATAAAGTTAACATCGTGCATTTTACCCTTATCCCCCTCACGATATTGCATTGTTTCAAAATCAAAGGCGACGATTCGGTACGCCTTTGGGGGTTTAATGACCAGGGGCTTGATGTAACACCCACGTTTAGGATCGTGGTAACTACCGCAGGTGGTACAATAACGCTCAGAGCAAATATGACCCTCCCTTCCGTTCCTATTATTATCCTTAACATCCCAGATAACCCCGCATTTTTCACATTTTTTGGAGGAACTACAGAAATTGGAGGTGATATGATGGGTAAAACAATTCTCATTTTTAAATTCTTTCCCACAACCACTACAATGTTCAAAGAAATCATTTAAATTTTTACATGGAAACCCTGGGCCAACCCTTGAACAGTTAGAACATCTAGATTTACACGAAATTGTATGGTTTGATTTCCTATTATAGACGCTTTCACATGATAAACAATAAGGTTGGCCAAAAAGGTCACAAGCCCTACGAACCCCGTCAAAGTGTTCTTTATTATAAAACAAAATTATAGGTATATCAAAATTATCGGGTCCATATTTATAAATTGGCTTTTCCCCTAAATCCCCGAATATAAAAACTTTAAACCATCCTTTATTCAGTAAATTCCAATATTCAACCACAGAGGGTATCCATTCTTCTGCATCGTAGCTGTCCAGGTCAAAGGGAGCACCAACACTTTCCATCAGGTCCATCGAATCCTTCTTGAATAAATTAGCCATCCCTCGTCGACTGTGTATGTAGTCGTAAAATTTCCATCGGGGCCATAGATATGTTGCATAAATAAAGGTGGCAATAAGAGAGTAGAACAAGCAATAGTTGTCGTTGTTGCGAATTTTAATCAATGCGTTGTCATTAATTTTAAGTTGTTTGGAGGAATTTTTTCCACGACCGTGCACTCGACGGGGGGTGTTACTTCTTTGGATAGTGGAAACCGAGACTTGAAAAGGTGCCCCCCATAACATACCATTGTCCTGTTTCTTACTCTGGGCGACCTTTAGGAATTGATTCAGGATTGAATCAATAGTATTGGGAGTGATCTCACGAACCGGGATCCAAACGTCAGAGTCGAGGTTCTGACTCGAAATAATACAACCTAGTTGTTCAGGTTCAACCCCCCATTGACGACTCTCTTCAAGAGCTTCGTCTATTGTATTTTGGAAAATCCCAGCTAAAAGGGATTCAGGGTCATTGGGGAGGTCAGAAATTAGGTACCTAGTAGAGACTTTGGACGCATTAAATTTTCGGCTAAACTTGGTCTCGTGACCAAGCTTTTTCACATAGGGGTTATTAGTTTGGGAACCTAATAAATTGGAAATTGAAAAATTCTTAAATTTTTTGGGTGGAGGAGGAAACATTTTTAAAAAAAGTTGAAAGTAAAAGGAGTTTTGATGTGATCTCGAAGATGTAGGTGTTGAACAGCAGAATGATATTTCTGATCATAATTAATCGCCTTTTATACCAGGTGAGGCTCCACCTATTTTAGGTTATTTTCAAAATAAATCACAGTTGGATTTTTAAAGAAATTTCTTAACTAGGTTAAAATTTTTAATAATAACCTTGAAAAATTGACCTAATTTTTGGTAAAAATAATAAAATTTATGAAAATTAAAAATTTTAGTTGGTCAATTAATCAATGTAGGTAATAGGAAGGCTAAATTATGTGGTAAATTCATTTATAGACTAGATGAAGGTGCCGAGAGAATAATACTTTATCACAAGAAGACAGCAATGTAGGCAATGGTGATAGGTTGGAGCAGACGAAGGAAATCTGTACAATATTTTTAATATTTCTCCCTATCTTAACCTCTATTTATTTCTAATACATATTTTAATTTTTATTAATTTCCATTTTTATATTTTTTCCATCAAAAGCATTTTTTAACCTTTATTTTTATTTTCACTATTTATCCTTCTATTTTTTTCTATCGAAAAAATTTTATTTATTAAATTTTTTAATCTTTTGTTCACAAAAGAAATTTTTAGGTCAAGCTGACCTAATTGAAGAGAAAAGTTGAAATTTTTTAACAAAAGGGAAATTTATTAATCCATTACAAGATTTTCTAGGTAATGACGACCTAAATATTTTATACAAAAGAAAAATTTTTAAGATGACCCATAATTTTTAAAGAAATCAAAAGAAAAAGGAAAATTTTTAAGGTGACCTTAAAATTTTTTAAAAATTCCTAAGAAAAAATAAAAAATACAAAAGAAAAAGGGAAAAGTTTTCAAACAAAAGGAAAATTTTAAAAAATAAAGAAATGTTCGCACACTGCGCGAACAAAAATACAAAAGGAAGATTAAAAGAAATTTTTTTAAAAATCTAAAGAAAGGAAAAGTTTTTAGGTCAAGATGACCTAAAAACTCAAAAGAAAACTACACGCACGCTGCGCGAAAAAGTAAGGAAAAGGAAAAAATAATTTTTAAAAATTTTTGGGGGAAAGTGCCTTAACATTTTGGGTTGACAGGTCACAGGATTGGCACCATATGTCTTTAAACCTTGAACCTAATTAATGAACTAATTACGAGAAAATAATGGTAATTACACGTACATCTTTTTTCTATTATCAGTTATCACTGATAAGACCCTTTGGGTTGATACAGGATGTCCCTAAACCTTCAGGTTGACTTTAATTAGTTGACTAGTTACATGGAATTAATTAGGGATTAATTACATATTCTTATATTAGTTATCTTTGATAAGGCCCTTTGGGATGGTACCGGATGCTCCTAAACCTTTAGGTTGTGTCTAATTAGAGTACTAATTACATGGAATTAATTAGGGATTAATGTTGCGGACCCCTCTGTCCCTGACGACGGGGGCGTTGGGTTAACTACTTGCTTGGCGTGTTTTAAAACCGGTAATGACCAAAAACATGAGAAGAGAGGCAATAAAAAGTTCGATCTAATAAAATGTTGATTAAAAACAGTAGGCTTTGTACAAGGGATGGGACGGGTTGAGAAGAAAGCCCGGGCATCGGGTTCGGGTCGGAAAAAAGTCCGGGTAACAGGTTGGGTAATCTAGGGGTATTAAAAGGGGAAAAAGCTGGATCGGGTTTTGGAAAATCTTTCAGTTCGGATTCCGTATCGAGAAAAAGTCCGTCCCACCCGTCCCATCCCTCCTTCGTACAAGAGAGGGAAGAATAATCGCTCTAAAATACCCATCTTTCTAAATAATTCAGATCAAATAGATTCTAGTTTTTTTTTGCTTTGCACCGGTCAAAAAAGAATTCATTTCTAACTATTAATTTACCATTTTTTAACTTTTTCTGTTCATTAAAATTTATTCTTATACAACCTACTTTTTCATAAAGGATTGTTCAGCAAATAAACAAAAATAATTAACATCATTACATTATTTGTTAGGTTTAAACACGCAGAACTTTGGTTTGTACCAAGATGTCTTCGATTGATAGTCTATGGAGTCTATGGACTATCAATCAAAGACATCTTGGTACAAACCAAAGTTCTGCGTGTTTAAAAATCCTAACCCTACTTATCAATATCAATTTGGGGTAGTTCTGTATTTTTGATTTTTCGCTCGGCGCAAAAGTCACGGAACCCTTTATTGTATTTATGAAAATATTCAAATAGTGAATTTTCATTGGAAAATAAAAAGTTCATTGATATTGTCTTAGTTAAAGTTTTTGACATAATACCTCCTTATGACTGTTATTTAATTAAATTTGGAATATCTGAATAACTTTTGAAGTTTTATTTTATTTTTTGTATTTTTTATCGTTGTCTTCGCTAATTCCAAGTAAATATTCTTATGATTTAATAAAAATAGATTTAAAAATTTAACTTTTAGTTAGCGTAGGTACAACAAAAGAACTACCTAACTAAATTTTATAATAGCTTTTTTGAGAGTTTTTTTCTTAATAAAATATTTAATATCGAATTAAATTTAAATCAATTTTGCCAACAATTAAAAAAATTTTTTTAATTTTTAAATTTATTTTTTCTATTTCCAAAACACGTGAAAATAAATTTAAAATTAATTTTAATATTTAATCCACGTTTTCAACGGTTAATTAAACAATTATAACCCCTCATAAATGAAAAATGAAGGGAAAAGCTTCTCCAACTTGAAAATTCAAAAACCCTTTCTCATAAAAAGAATTTTTTTGAATTTAAGTATTATGGATTACAATTGAGTAAATAAATAGACTCAATATATTTCAATGTATATTTAAACAATTTAAATTTACCCCCTATTCTCAAAATAAAATATTTTAAATTTAAATTTAAATTCCCAAAAAAAGAAGAAATGTTTTCTATGAAATCAATTTATTTAATAATATTTTCTTTACTGTTTTTGGCTGGCAATATTGTATGTCATAGTGGTCCTTCAAATGAACCTCCATGTCATGTTGATCCAAATGGGCAAGAATGCAAGAACTGTCTTAAACATCAATATCCTCGTCACTGTTAGTAACTTGAAAAAATCTACTAAATGGAAGTGTGTGGAAACAAAGGGAAATAATTAAAATATATTTTAATTGTGATTTTGGGTTTTATTTTAAAATAATGGGAAATTAACGAAAAACAAATGGGCATTTAATTGATGTTAAATGATTAATCTTTTTCTCAACTTTTTAGAAATAAAATTAAATACTGGGATAAATTGGTGAATTTTGAAAATTCTATTTCAATTTATTTATAAAAATATGAAGGATGTAAAAGTCAAGCCAGTAGTTAAGCCAATACATATTGATAGTTCAATAGATTAAATAAAATAATTTTCGAGGCGTATTTATCGAAAAAACTAAAAATTTATTGCAAATTTTATTTTGAAATTCACTCTTGATAGTATTTAAATATGCTTGTGAATTTATAAAAATTGATCAGAAATTAATCTTTAGGCCTTCAATTGTTTTCTTAGTATTTAACTTGGCATACGCTCAATTGTAAGTTGATGATCTCGAATATAAATAATTGGGACATCCCGAATTTTGAGGATACTTCTATGTAAATCTTTGTCACAAGTAGCAACGACACAGTTTTTGTGCTAGAAAAATTAAATCAAAAAAAAATTTGGAAAATTAATATAAATAGAAGCATTAAATTAGTGGGGGTGGAAAAGTAAAAGGACTAAAGTATCTAATCGTTATCATTATTTCCCAATTATTTGTTTTCTATACAAAAAGAAAGTTAGAAATTAACAAATCAGTGAATTCAAACTACTTCACCAGTTTCGTAACTCCTTAATTATCAAAATAATTTACATAATTCAAATATCTTCGAAAAAATCACCCCAATTATATTTGAAACTAACGTATATATTCCCTATATTTGAAATTTCCAAGGAATTTATAAAATTGAATGACTACAATTACCTCTTCAACTCTACGAATAATACATTCGTCTGAATTGATACTTTTTTTATGAGAACAATGTAGTCTTTGCCAACGATAATCGTTTATAATTTTCAAAACTGATTTAAAACGACGTTCCTTCCTTTCCAATTCAACAATAACACATTTGGGAATGTATGGAATTACTAAAAAATTTTTGTAAATAATTTTAATCATTTCGATATAAAAAACCTTTATCAAAAAGACAATCCTCAAATCCTTCCATTATATCCAATCGATTTTTTACGCAATAACTAATAAAGGTTGCATCAACCATAATATGAAATGGAGGGCCGAAAACGTGTTTCATACTTCTGAAAATTTAAATAAAAATTTATTTCAAAAAATTTTAATCCTTACACTTTTTTAATTCTCACTGCTTTTTCATCTCCTTTTTTACTAGCTTTAATAGCTCTTTCTTTAACTACTTTTTGTATATCAGCATATGCTTTATCAGTCACCTCCTCTTCATTTTTATTAGAATCTGAAGGTTCTTTTTGATGTAGCTTCAATTGTGAATTAATAAAATCAAGACTTGGAGCTCTTTTTCGTGTATAAAGACACATCAATATTTTAGAAATAAGACGAATATCACAATCAGACACATCGAAGAGCTCAAACCTTTAAAAAATAAACACTTAAAAATTTTTTTAGAAAATCCAAGAACCATGGAGGAGACTTGGGAAGAATTACAGGATGATCAACAGTTTTGGCAGCTAATTGAATACAAGCACAAGCAATCGTTTCTGGAGTATAACGTAAAAATATATCTGTTCGAAGACCATCATTCATATAACTCCTTAAAAATGAAATGAATTCTAATAAATCAAAAACAAAATACCAAGCTTTTTGAAGTAATTCTTTACTCCTGTTAATCTGTTCTTTAGTCGCGTTCGGATCACTTTCCTTATATAACAAGCCAAGAATATGCAAGTAAATGTAGACGAATTTGTGAGGGTGGTGTACCTATAATTATCCACTTCCTGAACGTGAAACAAATCCTGCTGAAGAAATGGCATCGTTTACATCCTTTGATGTCATTTTAGTTATTCAATATTTAAATTTAACGAATTGATATTCAAAACAAGCATATTTTTAAAACTTTAAACTTCGTTTCCAATAGCAACAAGGAGATAATTATTGACTAGAATCGAGAAGAAATCTGACGAACTAATTCCTGTAAAATCCCCTTTTTCTAAAAAATTGTTATTTTTATTTTAAATATTCGTGTGAATTTATAAGAAAATCAGAGATTTATCATTTTTCCTTCAATTATTCACTTTTTGGGATAAAACTGTACTAGAATATTAATTTTATAACAAAAATGCAATTTATGTAGTATACAATAAGAAATGGCTGTATAAAATTTAATTAAATACAATAAATAAATATTATTACAACAATTTACCTAATTAGTTCTTTTTATGGTCTAATTTCGTTCGTTTTTCATAAGAAAGAACTTAGGCAGCAAAATTCTACAAAAGAAGAAATATCGAAATTAAAATCTCAAACAAAAAATACTTTAGCGTCCTCCACCTATGGACCTCCTTGTCATCGCATAATTGCCAAGGATCGCTTGAACTTTTCAAGTTCTTCAGCTCGGCAACGAAATGGCCGCTACGGTAATTCGGGCCAAGATGAATCTAAAAATGTTTATTTTAGGTTTAAATGTGACTCTACCTCTGATAAAGTTTCTAAAAATTTCAAAAAAGTCGAGGCCAAGATAAACCCCAAATTTAGCCCAAAATTGGGTTTTTTGGCATCTAGGCCCATATCTCCATCACGGAATTTTTTGTAGCATCGCTTAATTGATGCAAAAGATGCCCAACTTGTGCCCTTCAAGGCGGCATTTTTTTTTTGGATTGAGTTGTACCTAGACCGAGTTTGAAGCAATACAAAATAACAGTCCGAATTTCAGATTTTGAGGACATAATTTTAAAAAAATTTTAAAAAACTGCAAAAATAAAAATTTATTTTTTAAATGGTTCTGGCTAGTAGAAAAAAGCGTGAACTATCGACTCTAGTAAATTTAAAATAATTCTAACTAAAATTCGAATACCTAAACGTAAAGAAAGACTAAAAATGCGAAAAGGGCTCATTATTTATCTAACAACCCATTAAAACAAAACAAGTTTTTTTTTATTATTTTCAATGGGGAAGTAAAATTATTTTTTAAAACAAATTTATCAATTATTTAATTGAAGAATATTTAATTAAGATATACGTGAACAAATTAATCAAAATTTTCTGAATTTATAAAATGTATCAGATAATGGATTCTGGCTCCTTAGCCCTCCCAGAAATCATTTTGAATTTTTGTCTTCTTTCCCACTTAAAATTCTAAAATTTTTGTTTTCAGCATTAAAAAGTGAAAATAGAAATAAGTACCTATGTGGAAATAAGCATCTTTTTTTAATGAAAACCTTGTTTCAGCCAATTTTAGCGAATCGAAAAACACCCAAACATAATTCATCCAACTTAAGAGCCAAGCTTAGTGAATTTTGACATTTTCCTACCCAATTATAAAAATTAAAATTTTCAAGTAAATTTAAGTGCGAGGGTTTTGATCATGAATACAAAAACATAAAAATATTTGTCCACAATTTTGGGTTTTTTATTTCCTTGTTTAGTTTAACAGACAAATTAATCAACTAAATATTTAAGAGTACATGTATATTTTATTTAAAGTTTAATTTTAATTATAAATCTTTTAGATAATAAAATTTTAAAAACAATATAAAAACTGGTTTATAAGCACAAGTTAAATGTACATATATAAATTCAGATAAAAAATTTTTTAAAATTATTTTTTAAATTAATTTCTTAATTCCGAATTCATAAACCATTAAAAAATATGAAAAAAATATTAATAATTGTATTTTTGACTGTTCTGATTAGTTTGATTAATATTGTATTGTCTGTACCAACCGAAAAAGATGAAAATCGAATGTCTGAAATTAGTAATTCAGGTACTAGACCTTTTAAAAAAAGATTTTAAATAGAACGACCAATAAGTTGTTAAGCTGAATCCTGCAAAATTAACATGATGGAAAAATTCCGTCATATCTCCCGGAAACCGATTCAGACAAACGATATGTCATTCGAAAGAGCTCACCGAGCTGAGCCGAACGACATCAAAACCAGCTTCGGGACTCACCTATGGGCCGAGATATATGCCTCCGAAAATCGAAAAACCATAGGGGGGAGCAAGCCAGGGCTGAGCGAAATCAAAAAAAGATTCCGCAACTCGCAATTTTTCCAAAATCAGCTCGAAATCTTGATTCTGAGACGAGATAAGCAGGCTCAAAATGGTCAACGAAACCCTAAGGGGCGCAGGCGACGCACTTGTGCAATTAATGATTAATAGCTTTCCTCGAAAGCTTTCCAACTCCACCGATATCCTCATAAGGATTGAGTCGCTGTGCTGACTCAATCCCAGATCTGAATTCGACATCGTCGAATTCAATTTAGAAACTGTTAATTAAAATTTAATGGCTAAACTGATAACTTGAATATCCAATTTTTAATAAAATATATCTAAAAATAATAGATGTTGATCTAAAGGAAGGTTTGCATGAACGTAATAAGCGATGGACATGCAACCGGTTTACTGGGGATATGTTTTGTGGATGGCCGAGATGTTCTTGTGGTGGAGCCTGTTATGGAGGTATAATTATAGTTATGTACTTTATGGATAACCACCCTCCACCCCTATTTTGAGTCTCTGAGATTTCCTAAATATGTAATAAGTAGAGTTTCACCGGAAGTTCCGGTTCCGGTTCCGGAAAGTTCCGGTGTTTTTTTGGTTCCGGTTCCGGGAACCGGAACTTTTTTACACCCCTAAGGATTAGTTTTTTTAAGAAATATGGATTGGCCTTGCAATATTTTCCCCGATTGGCCTTCCAAAATTCTCAAAATTTTCGCCTGCGGCGCCAGAAAAGGAAGAAATCTAGCTACTTGGTCACACAAATTCTCAAAATTTTCGCCTGCGGCGCTTAAAAAGGAAGAATTTTGTATCCTTGGTTCACCTAAAATCCCAAATTTTCGCCTGCGGCGCTATGAAGGGAAGTTGTATGGTAAATCGAAGGATTTGGATGGATGAAGGTGGATTTTGAGTTACATTATGTGAGTTCAAGGGGTTATAGGTAATATAGAGGGATTTGGGTGTGATGTCCAGGGAATGAGCTGTGCAAGTTAGATATCAGGGATTGAATAGCTAGGGATTTGGTCTTCCAAAACTTGGATTTTTTTCGTTTCAATTAACAGAAGAATTTGGCAGAATTTAATCGAAAAATTTGGCGAAACCACACCCCTACTTAAAATAAAAATTTTTTAAAATGTGCTAGCAAAAATTTTTTTAAAAGTTCCGGTTCCGGTTCCGGGCCGGAACTTTGAAAAGTTCCGGTTCCGGGAACCGGAACTTAAATTGGATCCGGTTCCGGTTCCGGTTCCGGTCAAAATTTCGGTTCCGGTGAAACACTAGTACTAATGCCACTTTTTTAAATAATGCACTCATTTAATTTTCCGCTGGGAAACGGAGAGAAATTTAGGAAGGAAAAAGGGAAAAACTCTGAGACTCAAAATAGGAGGGTGGTATATCCATAAAGTACCATTAGTTATAATTAGGCTTCAAATGCCCAATTTCCCAACTTGATATCGAAAATCCTGCTATATCCACTTTAATCCCAGATATCCTCTCATCCTTGACAGATTTTCGAGTCGGACAGATTTTCGAATCGAAATTTGGTGAAACCGATAATCCTAATTAAAATATATACATATGTACATATAATTAAAGAAACTATTTACAGTAACATGTACTTGCCAACGTTGTGGGCAACACAGGCCTTGGAGCATTAATGATTTGGGTGGATTATTGCGTTTTAGAGGATAAAATTTTTTATGAAATCTGAATTCTTTTACATGAAAAATAAAAATTATAAATAACTAAATTCATTTTTATAATCTATTATTCCTAAAATAATTTTTAAAGTAAAATATCAAAGAATCCAGTTTTTTATCGATATTTTTCGATATTTTTTTTCGATATTTATCGGAACATATCGATCAAAAAAATTTAAATATCGAAACAATTGATGGCCGAATAATAAAACATCGAAAAAAAATAACGTCATTATTGTCAGAAAGTTGAATTTGCTATGCTTCGCTGCGGTCGTGCTCGCTTCTACCGTAGCGAACACTGCATCGGGGACACGCCCACTGGGTCTGGGACCATTCCTTGCCCTAACCCTCGAAATTTCGGAAAGTTATAACTGTTTTTTCGAAATTTTTAAAAATTGGCTATAACTTTCCGAAATTTAGAGGGATAGGGTAAGTAACGGTCCCAGACCCAGTGTGGCGTCAGCGGCAAGGTTACGCAGCCCGCTCGAAGCGTGAGGTTTTTCTTTTTTTTCCGCATTCTTGGCTTTGAAACTAGTTTAAGCCTTTGTGATAAATAGGTATTTTACAAAGTCTTGCTACTTCAATATGAAAAAATAACGAAAATCCCTTATAAATTAGGTAAAACGGGCACCCTGTTGTAAATTTTTTATTTTTATTTCTTCTCGACCTACTAAGAGCTAAGTTGGATGAATTTCGACTTTTTCCTACCGAATTCCAAAAATCAATTAAAATTTTGCTAGTTTCAAGTTCCGATATTTGGACTAGTTTCGATTTTGATGCTGTACAGACCTCTCTAGGAGGTGAGTAATTCTCCACAATAAAAATTAAAAATTTTTGTCTTAAACAAAGATAATTTTATTAAAGTAATTATATTTCTTTTAGATAAAATTAAACAGGTTTTTAGATAAAATTTATTTTTATTCTCCTTTTTAATAGTATCTTTTTTTAATTCATTAGTGAAAAATAAAAATTTAATTTTTAAAACAATTACACCCGTTTAAGGCCGTTAGAGGAAAATAATTCTACAAAATTTTTTATCAAAATTTTTAAAATAAAAAATGAATAAATTGGGAAATACTGAAATTAAACAGCTGGTAGGTTATTTGAACTTCTCTGGAGTAACGTAATCTATCAAAAATTTGGTGGGCTTGAAGCTGCGACCATGTACCTAGATAGATAGACCTTGTTGTCAAAACTATCGAGACAAAAACTTAGTTTTTTCCTTTTTCCTATTAACTGCCGCCTAAACAATTTAGTGCCCCTTTAAATTAAAAACTTTAAGTTGTCAAACAATTATCAAACAATTTTGTTAATAATTGCGCGAATATGCATGCTTGGCATGTTTATTGATGATGGAATTAGTGTTGGACTTCAATGGAAGGTCTTTAAATTTAATTTTATTATTTAATTAATTTTAAAGGACCAACACCGATATATTTCTGTTTATTGGGCTAATTTGCCTGCTTGGCGGCCGGCAGATGCTTTAATTACTTTTGGAATTCTCGGACAAATAATTCCGTGTATTTTAATTCTTTTTATAAGAAGAATTGTAATTCCAAGCTGTATTTTTCTGATTTTTATGGTTATTTATCATACTATCCTTTATGGCCTTCATTTTGATCTTCACTTTTTATCAGTGTAAAAATTAATTTTAAATTTCATTCCTAAGAAACACCTTAAAACCCTTTAATGCTGTCAAATGTATTTTATCGGTGTTTTATAGGTATCGGTATTTTTCCAATTAGTATAGTAAAGTACGAAATTCCGTTCTCTAATCTCAACATCATTTTAAATTAAAATTCCCAAAAATATTAAAGAATATACATAACACCATTAAAGTTATCACTTAACGGACATTAAGTTTAATTTGATTATAAACTGGAGTCAAATTTTTATATAACCCTTTTAGTTTGTTTAACGAATATTATGCCCCTTTTAAAGTCTATTTAATAAAAAAAATTTTTGTAGAAATATAGCTATTATCGGAGGGCTTTTATTGTTGATAGCTGAATCTTTAAATAATAATAAACAAAAAAAAATTATCTTTGTTTAAGACAAAAATTTTTAATTTTTATTGTGGAGAATTACTCACCTCCTAGAGAGGTCTGTACAGCATCAAAATCGAAACTAGTCCAAATATCGGAACTTGAAACTAGCAAAATTTTAATTGATTTTTGGAATTCGGTAGGAAAAAGTCGAAATTCATCCAACTTAGCTCTTAGTAGGTCGAGAAGAAATAAAAATAAAAAATTTACAACAGGGTGCCCGTTTTACCTAATTTATAAGGGATTTTCGTTATTTTTTCATATTGAAGTAGCAAGACTTTGTAAAATACCTATTTATCACAAAGGCTTAAACTAGTTTCAAAGCCAAGAATGCGGAAAAAAAAGAAAAACCTCACGCTTCGAGCGGGCTGCGTAACCTTGCCGCTGACGCCACACTGGGTCTGGGACCGTTACTTACCCTATCCCTCTAAATTTCGGAAAGTTATAGCCAATTTTTAAAAATTTCGAAAAAACAGTTATAACTTTCCGAAATTTCGAGGGTTAGGGCAAGGAATGGTCCCAGACCCAGTGGGCGTGTCCCCGATGCAGTGTTCGCTACGGTAGAAGCGAGCACGACCGCAGCGAAGCATAGCAAATTCAACTTTCTGACAATAATGACGTTATTTTTTTTCGATGTTTTATTATTCGGCCATCAATTGTTTCGATATTTAAATTTTTTTGATCGATATGTTCCGATAAATATCGAAAAAAAATATCGAAAAATATCGATAAAAAACTGGATTCTTTGATATTTTACTTTAAAAATTATTTTAGGAATAATAGATTATAAAAATGAATTTAGTTATTTATAATTTTTATTTTTCATGTAAAAGAATTCAGATTTCATAAAAAATTTTATCCTCTAAAACGCAATAATCCACCCAAATCATTAATGCTCCAAGGCCTGTGTTGCCCACAACGTTGGCAAGTACATGTTACTGTAAATAGTTTCTTTAATTATATGTACATATGTATATATTTTAATTAGGATTATCGGTTTCACCAAATTTCGATTCGAAAATCTGTCCGACTCGAAAATCTGTCAAGGATGAGAGGATATCTGGGATTAAAGTGGATATAGCAGGATTTTCGATATCAAGTTGGGAAATTGGGCATTTGAAGCCTAATTATAACTAATGGTACTTTATGGATATACCACCCTCCTATTTTGAGTCTCAGAGTTTTTCCCTTTTTCCTTCCTAAATTTCTCTCCGTTTCCCAGCGGAAAATTAAATGAGTGCATTATTTAAAAAAGTGGCATTAGTACTAGTGTTTCACCGGAACCGAAATTTTGACCGGAACCGGAACCGGAACCGGATCCAATTTAAGTTCCGGTTCCCGGAACCGGAACTTTTCAAAGTTCCGGCCCGGAACCGGAACCGGAACTTTTAAAAAAATTTTTGCTAGCACATTTTAAAAAATTTTTATTTTAAGTAGGGGTGTGGTTTCGCCAAATTTTTCGATTAAATTCTGCCAAATTCTTCTGTTAATTGAAACGAAAAAAATCCAAGTTTTGGAAGACCAAATCCCTAGCTATTCAATCCCTGATATCTAACTTGCACAGCTCATTCCCTGGACATCACACCCAAATCCCTCTATATTACCTATAACCCCTTGAACTCACATAATGTAACTCAAAATCCACCTTCATCCATCCAAATCCTTCGATTTACCATACAACTTCCCTTCATAGCGCCGCAGGCGAAAATTTGGGATTTTAGGTGAACCAAGGATACAAAATTCTTCCTTTTTAAGCGCCGCAGGCGAAAATTTTGAGAATTTGTGTGACCAAGTAGCTAGATTTCTTCCTTTTCTGGCGCCGCAGGCGAAAATTTTGAGAATTTTGGAAGGCCAATCGGGGAAAATATTGCAAGGCCAATCCATATTTCTTAAAAAAACTAATCCTTAGGGGTGTAAAAAAGTTCCGGTTCCCGGAACCGGAACCAAAAAAACACCGGAACTTTCCGGAACCGGAACCGGAACTTCCGGTGAAACTCTACTTATTACATATTTAGGAAATCTCAGAGACTCAAAATAGGGGTGGAGGGTGGTTATCCATAAAGTACATAACTATAATTATACCTCCATAACAGGCTCCACCACAAGAACATCTCGGCCATCCACAAAACATATCCCCAGTAAACCGGTTGCATGTCCATCGCTTATTACGTTCATGCAAACCTTCCTTTAGATCAACATCTATTATTTTTAGATATATTTTATTAAAAATTGGATATTCAAGTTATCAGTTTAGCCATTAAATTTTAATTAACAGTTTCTAAATTGAATTCGACGATGTCGAATTCAGATCTGGGATTGAGTCAGCACAGCGACTCAATCCTTATGAGGATATCGGTGGAGTTGGAAAGCTTTCGAGGAAAGCTATTAATCATTAATTGCACAAGTGCGTCGCCTGCGCCCCTTAGGGTTTCGTTGACCATTTTGAGCCTGCTTATCTCGTCTCAGAATCAAGATTTCGAGCTGATTTTGGAAAAATTGCGAGTTGCGGAATCTTTTTTTGATTTCGCTCAGCCCTGGCTTGCTCCCCCCTATGGTTTTTCGATTTTCGGAGGCATATATCTCGGCCCATAGGTGAGTCCCGAAGCTGGTTTTGATGTCGTTCGGCTCAGCTCGGTGAGCTCTTTCGAATGACATATCGTTTGTCTGAATCGGTTTCCGGGAGATATGACGGAATTTTTCCATCATGTTAATTTTGCAGGATTCAGCTTAACAACTTATTGGTCGTTCTATTTAAAATCTTTTTTTAAAAGGTCTAGTACCTGAATTACTAATTTCAGACATTCGATTTTCATCTTTTTCGGTTGGTACAGACAATACAATATTAATCAAACTAATCAGAACAGTCAAAAATACAATTATTAATATTTTTTTCATATTTTTTAATGGTTTATGAATTCGGAATTAAGAAATTAATTTAAAAAATAATTTTAAAAAATTTTTTATCTGAATTTATATATGTACATTTAACTTGTGCTTATAAACCAGTTTTTATATTGTTTTTAAAATTTTATTATCTAAAAGATTTATAATTAAAATTAAACTTTAAATAAAATATACATGTACTCTTAAATATTTAGTTGATTAATTTGTCTGTTAAACTAAACAAGGAAATAAAAAACCCAAAATTGTGGACAAATATTTTTATGTTTTTGTATTCATGATCAAAACCCTCGCACTTAAATTTACTTGAAAATTTTAATTTTTATAATTGGGTAGGAAAATGTCAAAATTCACTAAGCTTGGCTCTTAAGTTGGATGAATTATGTTTGGGTGTTTTTCGATTCGCTAAAATTGGCTGAAACAAGGTTTTCATTAAAAAAAGATGCTTATTTCCACATAGGTACTTATTTCTATTTTCACTTTTTAATGCTGAAAACAAAAATTTTAGAATTTTAAGTGGGAAAGAAGACAAAAATTCAAAATGATTTCTGGGAGGGCTAAGGAGCCAGAATCCATTATCTGATACATTTTATAAATTCAGAAAATTTTGATTAATTTGTTCACGTATATCTTAATTAAATATTCTTCAATTAAATAATTGATAAATTTGTTTTAAAAAATAATTTTACTTCCCCATTGAAAATAATAAAAAAAAACTTGTTTTGTTTTAATGGGTTGTTAGATAAATAATGAGCCCTTTTCGCATTTTTAGTCTTTCTTTACGTTTAGGTATTCGAATTTTAGTTAGAATTATTTTAAATTTACTAGAGTCGATAGTTCACGCTTTTTTCTACTAGCCAGAACCATTTAAAAAATAAATTTTTATTTTTGCAGTTTTTTAAAATTTTTTTAAAATTATGTCCTCAAAATCTGAAATTCGGACTGTTATTTTGTATTGCTTCAAACTCGGTCTAGGTACAACTCAATCCAAAAAAAAAATGCCGCCTTGAAGGGCACAAGTTGGGCATCTTTTGCATCAATTAAGCGATGCTACAAAAAATTCCGTGATGGAGATATGGGCCTAGATGCCAAAAAACCCAATTTTGGGCTAAATTTGGGGTTTATCTTGGCCTCGACTTTTTTGAAATTTTTAGAAACTTTATCAGAGGTAGAGTCACATTTAAACCTAAAATAAACATTTTTAGATTCATCTTGGCCCGAATTACCGTAGCGGCCATTTCGTTGCCGAGCTGAAGAACTTGAAAAGTTCAAGCGATCCTTGGCAATTATGCGATGACAAGGAGGTCCATAGGTGGAGGACGCTAAAGTATTTTTTGTTTGAGATTTTAATTTCGATATTTCTTCTTTTGTAGAATTTTGCTGCCTAAGTTCTTTCTTATGAAAAACGAACGAAATTAGACCATAAAAAGAACTAATTAGGTAAATTGTTGTAATAATATTTATTTATTGTATTTAATTAAATTTTATACAGCCATTTCTTATTGTATACTACATAAATTGCATTTTTGTTATAAAATTAATATTCTAGTACAGTTTTATCCCAAAAAGTGAATAATTGAAGGAAAAATGATAAATCTCTGATTTTCTTATAAATTCACACGAATATTTAAAATAAAAATAACAATTTTTTAGAAAAAGGGGATTTTACAGGAATTAGTTCGTCAGATTTCTTCTCGATTCTAGTCAATAATTATCTCCTTGTTGCTATTGGAAACGAAGTTTAAAGTTTTAAAAATATGCTTGTTTTGAATATCAATTCGTTAAATTTAAATATTGAATAACTAAAATGACATCAAAGGATGTAAACGATGCCATTTCTTCAGCAGGATTTGTTTCACGTTCAGGAAGTGGTCGTCTTCCTTCTCGTAGTGGTAAACAAGAAGGAAAGGGAGGTGGGATAATTTTAGAAATTTTCTTCTCGTTCCTACAAAGGGCAACTCTTTCTCAAGGATTATTCTGTTTTTATTATCCCTTTAAGAAATACTTAAGTCACAGAGAAAATGAATCATTTTTAGATGACTTAAATGTCCGAGTTCGAGAACGATCAACTACAGGTACAGAAGAAAGACCAAAATCTCGTCTTGGATCTTTTTTATCAAAACGTGGGGGAAGTGGAGACAATGTTGGAGGTATACAATCAATTGTTGGAAATAATGCCTCTGGAACTTCTTCCATTGAAAAGAAGGCTAATGAAATTAAAGAACAAATAAAACGTCCATTATCTAGTTAAATAATTTTCTCTGAAAAAATTTTTTCTTTAATCCAAAAAGGCCTTTTTCGACGTACACAATCAACTGAACGTTCACAAGGAGGAGGAGGCATTACAATAACTAATAAACAAGGCAGTAATTTATCTTCAAACAATACTTCACGACATGTTGCGGCTCCTCTTTTTGCTAACAGAGCTAGTAGTAATAGAGTTCCCTCGGCTGTAGGAGGGAGATCTACGGTAAAGTGAATGTTGTAAATTTTAGAAAATTTGTTGGGTATTAAGATGATAATTTGAGAAAGTAAAAGGGATCTTGCTCAATTTTTGACACAAAGTCTGATCACGAAAATGATCACTTAATAATAGATTTATCAACTTTTTAAAGCCTGATTGACCATTGGGAGGGCGAACTGCCTATGTAATATTAAAGAAACATCTTTATTTAAGAAAACTGATAAGAAGGTACAATTTTCAGACCTAAGGGTTTATCTTATAGGGAGATCCAACTGTAAATGGATGAGAATCCATCCTTAATGCTTCCATTTAGTCCAAGGATTTTCAGTCAAAGTTAGACTTTAAAGTGTTCACAAAAACAATTTTTTACAAAAAATCCCTCTATTAATATTTCATAATTTAATCACTTTTTCAAAGACCTTAATAACTGGAATGGGAACATCCGGAACCGAGAATAATGATAATGCTGCAAATGGGGGTGCAGCTAATGGAGTTGCATTTACAGCAACTAGACCTTTTACTGGATTCCCTGGAACTAAAAGAGAATCTATTAAACAACAAAATGATGAAAACAATACAAAAATGCAGATGGAGGCATGTTAAATTTTAATAAATCTATTAAGCTTCTCGAATTATTTCAAAATTTTCTCCATTTTTTATTTGTAGATGGATTTAAGTGAACAAGCAGCTATTGCCCCAAGTATGAGGCGTTTTTCTGGATTTTCTGCTGATCCTTCCTCTCTTTTTCTCATGAAACAACAAAAACAACAAATAAATAAAGGGAATAAAAATTTGGGTGATAATAGTGAAAATGGGGGAGAAATTGGGGCCTAACTACAGTTTCCGTACCAGGCTCAGCATTGGACGATTTATATGTCATTCGAAAGAGCTCGTCGAGCTGAGTCGAACGACACCAAAATTATTCAGCGGAAAAAATTCTGAGCCGAGTTACAGGCCCCCGAAAATCGAAAAACCATAGGGGGGACCAAGCTGATTTTTGGGGTGAAAAATTCGAATATGCAATTAATAGCTCATTTGAAAGAGCTCTTCAAGCCGAGTCGAATGACACCAAAATCGCCGTGATTGGTCAAGTTTGTTCAAAGTTATGACAGAAAAAACAAACAACGTAAACCTATGGGGCGTCGGCGAGGCGCTTGTGCAAAACTCCGCGCTTCGCGCGGAGTTTTGCGGCACGCGCCTCGCGGGGAGTCTACGGGCTCTGGGTCTGGGCTCATAACTTAATCCTATTCCAATTATCGCTGTGATGGGCATGCCCAGCTTCCTCCGCAGCAGCAAGAACATCCACGGAGAACAAAGGTAAGGAGCTAAAACAAACTAGCATAACTTTGTCAAATCAAGTCTGATTTCATTGATTTTGGTGTCATTCGACTCAGCTCGATGAGCTCTTTCGAATGAGGTATAATTTGCATATTCGAATTTTTCACCCCCAGAAAACAGCTTGGTCCCCCCTATGGTTTTTTTAACTTTAGTGGTCTGTAACTCGGCTCAGAATTTTTTCCGCTGAAAAATTTTGGTGTCATTCGACTCAGCTCGACGAGCTCTTTCGAATGACATATAAATCGTTCAATTCTGAGCCTGGTACGGAAACTGTAGTTTAGCCGAAATTGGTAAAATGGAAGAATTTTTTAAGAAAATTTCGGAAAAATTTTTTCTTTCAGATGATGTAAATTTTCTTTCTCGATTTCTTTGTCCAGAAGATGAAATTCAGGATGAGAATATTCCTTGGACATGGGATTCATTGTGAGCGTTCTAAATTTTAGTTGAGTAGAAGTGAGAAACTTGAAATTCAGTGAATTGTCTAATTTTCGGTGAATTGTCCTTATAGGACTTGCGAATCAAATCCAAAGAATTTTCAGAATATTTTGTCTCAATAGGAGTGTTAATTTATTAAACCAAAAAAAACATTTTTCAGATTTGCAAGTGTAACAAGCGAATTAAGAGAAGAATGGGCATTGGAAGAGGAAGCAGCAAATAGCGGAGGGGGAGGTGTTAATGATCAAATGCCTGGTGGAGGGATACCTACAAATAATTTACAACAAAAGGGATATTAAATTCTTTTCATCAAAAAATTTAAAATTAAAAAATATTGGTTACAGAAATCGTTATTTTTATATTACAAGGTAAAAAGCTCTAATGGAGAGGTACCCATTTTCAAAAGATAACTTGGAGGTGCGGAGTTGGTTTTGTATTCCAATTTCGCAGCTTGTGTTCTCCCAATAACTTTCATTCCCTTAAAATATCCACCTTGCCAGAGTACCTTTCCATTAGAATAGTCGACTCTTGTTATAATCCCATTCCAAAATTATACCCACATATCAATCATTCTCTGGCCTAGCTTCCCAAAAACATAGAATAAATCTCCTCTTAATGAGGGTTATAACCAGAATCAATTTTTAAGTAAAAATGTCTTAAGAGTCATTAATTCTGAAAAAAGCTCGTCTTTCAATCTATTTTTTAAAATTTCTAATTTTTCAATTTTCACATCCAACAACTAAAGAACTTTCCATAATTGCATATTGAGATAAATAATATGTTGAGAGAACAATAATTTCATTAGCTGGCTCTATTCCAGCATATTCTAAAAGCAGTAGAGAATCGGAAATGAAGAAGAAAATATAGCCAAAAATTCGAAGAATGTCCTTCTGGAAATTTTAATTTAATACACGAAATTAAAATTCGAAATTTTAGTCTTTAGATGTAAGGCCAGAATATCCAAAACCCAATTTGACTTGTGGCATTTTGTCAGTATTCTCTTATTGGACAAAATCTGTCCTATTGGCATTTTGTCAAATTTTGTCTTAATGGGCATTTTGTCGTTTTCTCCTAGTTTTCAAACAAAGCCTTTAATGGAATTTACTAAAACAATAGAAAAGACACTACAAGTTATGTAGTTATTTGTTTGATTTTACATCCATTTTTGTTAAAACAAAAACATTTCCAACCATTTTCCTCGTTTCCAAAGCTAAAGAACTGCTTGCAATAATTGCAGTAGATAACACTCCAGCATAAGCAATTAATGTAGAAATAACAAATGGATGTTGGGTAATTTTAGGTAATAAAAAATAATAGCAAATAGTTAAGGTATATAAATATAGAGGAATTGCTAGTTTTAACAAAATTCTTTTAATTCTTGGAAAATATTCAAACTGAAAAATTTTTAAAATTTTTAGAATTATGGGGGGAGGATTTGGGGATATATAGTAGAAATAAGAGTGTAATTTTAGACATAGTTACGATATCTATTTAATTTTAGATTTTAATACAAAATGAGGTTGGTAGTTAAATTAAAATTTGTCAGGTTGAGTATAAGTTATTACGCCCTTTTATTATCCCAGCATATCCCCAAAATGCCAAATGAGGATATGTGTAGGATCAACAATAACCTCATGACAAGCTACCATTCTTAACAAGAGAAGCTTGGTCAGCTTGACATTTAACTTTCTGCAACATTCTTAAGTATATTACAGACCAATGTGGGAGATGTGCTAGGGTATTAACAGGGGGTATTAACATAAATCTTAACAATTTTCTATTCAAAGGGCTCAATTTCCTCAATCTTTCCAAATAAAAATTAAAATATTTACCATATAAAAAATGTGACAAAACCCAAAAGCTATAGCCCCAACAGAAAATGCCAAATGAGGATTAGGTAAAGCACTAATTAGAAAATCACCAAGGGCTGCGGAAAAAAGTGCGGCAGACAAAAAATGTTTTTTATTTGAAAATTTATCTGATATTTTTGCTGTTGTAATTAAATTATTCTCGTCTTCTTTTATTTTTAATTGACTAGAGACATTTCCAAAATGAACAGCAAAGGCCAAAAATAATAGTGGAAGGAGTTTTCTGTTGGAAAAATTTTTTTTTAAATTTAGTAAAAATTTTTTTTGACAATAATTTTGTTCCCAAACAGTAGTCAAACTTCCTTTTAAGCATTTTTACTAGTGGGCATTTTGTCGAAATTTGCCCTATTAGACATTTTGTCGAATTCAAAAAAGTAGCAGGGAAAATTTTCTTTTAAGATTTTTTAGGTAACTTACAAAAAACTGTATCGAAGTCTGTCTTCTTCGGCATTAAATCCATTTGTATTATCATAAAAGAATACAATAAGGAGAATATAAATGCTAAGTATATGAGCATTTGGTAAGGAAGTCATTTTAATAAGAATTTTTTGAATTTAAGAGGGGGAATTATTCTCTTGGAATTAAAAATTTTTTTTAATTTAATATAATTTTTCTAAAATGTGAAAAATCAGAAAAGTAGATATTTTTGGGATTTAATCACAGACAGGTGTGTCACAATCCTTAACCCTTGATTTTGACTTAAATTGTAATAAAGCGCAATGTAAAAAATAGCTATTTTTTCCTTTAGCTAATGCAAAAGGTTAATCGGCGGCTGGGAGCGAACCAGCATCTTAAGTAGACCGGACTGATGTACTAGCCATTACAACATGCCGCCTACTGCAAAGCCTTAGGAAATAAATAGCTATATGCTTTACATTGTCTATCTGGTTCTGGATTAAGTAAAAAGATCCACAACTTTTTCTAGTCCAAAAAACTTTCAAAAATGCTGGATTCATAGATCAATAAAGGAAAATATTATCACAGAATTGACAAAGGGTTCTTTTATCTTCACATTTAATATCAAAAAAATATTTTTATCAAACCCCTCCTTAAATAAATAGAACAAAGATTAAAATAAACCGGATTCTGTCATTATTTTTTACAACTTTATATAACAAATCTATTTAGTTGTAAATTGAGGGAAATTATTATTCCGTACATGGAAGGCTTAAACAAATTAGAGAGAGAGAATAAGCATCTCCTCTCTTTTTTAGTGTTCAACTGATCGGAAAAAAAATAAAAAAAATTTTCTCTCTGCTAGACTACATTTTTTGTGAAAAATAGGGAGGCTTATTCTCCTCCTCTTTCCCCACACCTTTATTTATTATGTCAATCAACACAAAAATATATAAATATAATTATTATCATTTGCTCTGCTAGACTATGAAAAAAAATTTTTTTGAAAAGCAGCAAGTGTTTTAGTTTAAGAATAAAGAGGAGGAATAAGTAGGGCTATAAGGTATTTATATTTCTTTCCTCAAATTTTCGTCACGTTAAAGCAAAACTTGGGACTTTCTTATGACGTTGAGACTTGCACTCTTTTTTAGTTAAAAATTATTTTGATAAAAACCTCGTGGGTTATTCTTTTTCCTTTTTGTTTGATGCAAAAGATCGACAAATTAAGCAAGAAATGGAAGAAAGCATATACATAGCTATTTAATTCCTAATTAATTCCTTAATTCCTAAGGCTGTGCAGTAGGCGGTGGGGTATAATGGATAACATATCAGTTCGGTCTACTGAAGATGCTGGTTCGCACTCAGGCGCTGATTAACCTTTTGCACTAACTGAAGGAGAGAAATATAGCCCAAAAATTTTACTTTATCTTTAAATGAATGGTCAAAACAATGATTTAAACTGTCAGTTATAACAATGAAATAACACTATTCTTGTTTGTACCTCTTGAATATTCCATTATTCATTGTTTTACAGTTTAATTTCATATTTTTATAACTTTTTGAAAAAATTTCTGGGCAAATCAAAAATTCATATTTTCGTTGAGAAAAGAAACATGACTTTTTCTTTAACTATTTTCTTGAGACAGAAGTAAAAAAACAATACATAAGAGTAGAGGGAAATTATAGCCATGCTCATTAAAATAAAAGATTTCCCAAATTTTAATAATTTTATTAAAAAAAAATTAATTAATACAATTTTTATCCCCAATTTATTTCAATAGTTGTATTATTATATAATTAAAAATAATATTCAAATGATTAAAAAATTATAAAAAATAAAAATACTAATCACTAACACTCTATTGCATTTGGATTAAGATGGCAATATTCACATAAATTGCAAAAGTTTTTACATTTAGGATTATTGTTATAACATATCAATCTACAGTTTTCTCCAGATAGTTCATAATTACATTGAGGGCCAGGCTTAGTAACTGGAACAATAAAGGAGGAGGTAAAAATAATAAAGCGATTATTCACCAAAAATAATAAAGCTAATATTATTATTAAATTAATTAATTTAAACATTTTTCTTTTTGGAATTTTTTTCTGAGAATTGGAGGTAAATTTGAATTATTTTAAATACATATCGAAAATATGTACGTTTTTGTACCTTTTAAATTTTTGATCTTTAATCTATTGAAAAAAGTTCGTTTTTATACGAAAGATGATCATAAATGGGCGGCTTAAAAAGTGGTTTTGAGATTGTATGCGTAATTTTTTGTTTTTAGCTTGAAAATTTATGTAAATATTTAATTAACTGCTGAAATTTCCGAATTTAAAATAAAGATTAAAATTTTTTGTTAATTGTATGGCAAATTAAGATTAAAAAAATTCGTTTTTGCAAAATTAATTTAATTAAATATTATTCAGAATTGAATTATGTCGCATTCTTGTTATCGGCCAACATTTTTATTTTCTTCCTTCCCAATGATAAACAGTCGTCAATAAACACATACCTATTTTCTTTTCCTTTTTAATATTACCATGGAGGATATGAAGGATATCGAGGGATTAAGAATGATATTGGGTAATTTGGATGGATATCGCAGATTAGGAGGGATATCCCGATTAAGAGGGATGTAGGAGGATTTGGGATGGATATCCAGTGATTAAGAAGGATATAGTTGGATTAAGAGTCTGTTATCCCTATGTCACTTTAATCCTTTCACAGCCTCTTAATTTCTCCAAATCCCTTTATATTCCAATAAACCTTTCAATTCCCTTATATCACTCTTAATTGTTCCACACCAATTTTAATCCTCCAATATCCTAATATCCTCCGCAGCAGCAAAAACTGCATGTAAACAAAGGTAAGGAGCTAAAATAAATGCTCATAACTTTGTCAAATCAAGTCGGATTTTGTTGATTTTGGTGTCATTTGACTTAGCTCGAGAAGCTTCTTCAAATGAGTTATGTGCTTACTCCCCCCTATGGTTTTTCGGCTTTTAAGGACTCATATCTCGTCTCGTAGGCATTTCCGCAGATTGGGTGTGGTATCATCCGACTCAGCTCGCCGAAACAAATCGAATGGTATAAATATAGAAGGGTTTTGAAGTGGGCCACCGGCTAAAGTATACCCAATAATATTTTAGTTCTTGAACATTTTTGCAGTTAAAAAATTTTTTTTAATTATCAAAATTGCTTATTTGTGATATAAAATTTAGAATAAATTTCCCAAATTTTAAATTTTTATTAATAAAATAAAATAGATAAATTACCAATTTATTTCTGTTAGTTAAAATAATTAAAAATAATATTTACATGATTAAAAAAATTAAAATAAAATTCAAAATCACAATTAACTACATCCTTCTATTAAATCATCTTCAACGCAAAGGCGACACATCACACAAACGTTTGGACAACTTATAGTCCTCACATTACATAATGGTAGACATCTCTCTTTAGATTTATCATTAGTAAAGCAAATATTATTAAATAAATTGATTTAAAAAACATTTTCGTCTTTTTTTGGGAATTTTATTTAAAAAATTTTTTTTGAGAGAATAAGGGTAAATTAAATTAAAATTTTTAAATTATTGAATAAAAATTTGGAGGATTATAAATGGATTGATTTAATTGATTTTATTTAATTTTTTTAAAATTTTTTTATTATAATTGATTTCGAAAAGAGAGAATTTGCGAGGTAAAAGATTTATATTTTGCTTATTAGCTTGAATGTCTATGTATAAAAAATTGTGTAATTAGCCGATGAAAATACAAATAAAAATTAATTTATACTATTTTGTTAATTCGTGTCAAATATCCAAATTTAGAAAATAATAAGAAATATTTTTTGTCAAAATTGATTTTTAGTTTAATTTTGAATCTTTTATCTATTAGAGTGTAACATAAATAATTAGCCCCCCTTGTGGTAAGAGGATTAAATAATTATTAAAATTCAACTAAATGTTTTCAGACTTCAATTAATATTTTTCTATGATCCTATAAGAGTTGCCTATTTTCTGGCAAAAAATTAGAATTCTAGGTTTAGGTAGGCCGGAATTAGAGGTGAAATACTAAAGCTTGTATTTTTGAAACAAGGCAAATTCTTTTTGATTTTTCTCTGCAAAATTGATGAGCAAGAATGAATATTTAAATAGATTCTGATAGAGCAGAATCAGATGAATACAATGATATAAGAAATTCCACTGGAAAACAACTGGCTGATTTTTTAGAGGGTCGCATTTGTGAAATATGGGCTAGCATTATGCTGTTTTAGGATAACTCTCGCGCGAAAATGCCTAGCGAGGCCAGGCGACCAGATTTTTCGATGGACTTGATCTATATGGGAATAATACAATTTGGGAGTAATAGTTTAGCCAGTTTAAACTAAATTCCAATGATTACCCCGCCGCGACACCACCAAATACATAACAGATCACGCTATTGGACCAGTCTGAATTAGAGGTCAAAATTGATGGTTAGCTGGGATGACCGTTCCTTTTTGTTTACAGAATTCATGAAGGCAACCCACACTTCCTCAAGGTTAAAATTTGATTCAAATAGGGAGCTTCATTGTGGCGTTTAAGGGGTTGTTTTGCAAAAGTGACTTAGTGGTTTTTTTTAATTTTGCGGCAATTCATGGGGTATCAATCGACTCTTCATAACTTGATACCCGCTTCAAGTAAAATTATGGTAATTTTTGTAAGTGAGCAGGTGAGTGCCTGCCCCAATATACACGTTTTATTTTTTGGACTGGCTTTGATTCAGGGGAGAACGGGATTCTTAACTATCGTTGGTTGGCATCCAAGACGTTATTTGTCTTTCAGCTCCTCTCTACCTTTTTTTTATTTGGGGACCCAACTTTTTTCTGTGGAATAGGAGATAACATCCTCATACTTCGCTATGCATATTTTGTGCCATGATTCCTTTTCCGAATGTCCAAGTTCAATCTCATATTTGAACTGGACGCTAATTTCATAATTTTGCCTTAAACTTTAAAAATTCATAAAAAATTTTTAAATAAAGAAAAAATTTCAAATCTTTCAAAAAATGAAGAAGGCATCATTGTGAATATATGACAAAAAATTAAACAGATTGGAGATCTGAACATTGAGATATACATTTTCAAACTTTAATGATTTAAGGGGGGCTAATTATTTATGTTACACCCTAATATTAAAAAGTATACTTTAAATAGAAAATGTTTTTTATTTAGCCGGATAACAGATGAATTGTGTTTTTATAAAGGATAATCGCACTAAACAAAATCTAGCACCAACACTGTTACATTATGTGTAATACCGGTTAATCCCGACCGATACCGGTCAGGATCCCGATACCGGCCAACTCTACTTTAGATTATTCCTTCTAGTATATAAAACCTGTAAACCATTTCTCAGAACTTGCCAGGAGCATTTAAAACAAATATTTGCTTTTATGTGTCTCCTATGACTATCATCCAGCCAGGTCCTTCGATGCTAACGGTTGCTAGTAGAGCTGTCCGAGATCTTGAGTCTTGACTCAAAATTTTACTCTCATTTTATATAAATTTAATGGTAAAATACAAATATGACCAATTTTCAAAAATTCATATCTCTATCTTTTGGAAAACTAAAGAAGTCCGAGCTTAACGTTTTCTTTAACTGTAGGTCTTCTTCGGACGTAGAGATTATATTTAAATTAAAAAAAGTTTTTCCCAAATTTTTAAATCTTTATTTAAAAAAAGATTTTTTATTCCAATATTTGTAAAATAATATTATTCCAATGATTTAAAAATTAAAATAAAATTTAAAATCACAATAAATGACTCTAAATCAAATAGTCATTCGAATCAATCAAAAGCTCTAGAAATTAAAAAAGAGAAAATATTCTGAAATTTTTTGTTTCTAGTTTCTAATAGAAGGAAGAATATATAAATTCTTTAATTAACTGAAAAATACGAGGAGCAATTTTGAGACGGAAGGTGGAAAATTTTAGCTAAATTAAATAAAGGATTTTTCCAAATTTTAAATTGAAAAAATAAAATTAATAAAATTTTTATCACCAATTTATTCAAATACATATTTATTCGTTAATTAAAATAATTAAAAATAATATTCCCTTGATTTAAAAAATTATTTAAAATTAAAATAATTAAAATTTATTTTAATTACTTCCCCCATTACTTCTTTAATATTCCAATTTAATAATACCCCCCCCCTCCTTTTTTTCTTCACAATTTTTCATTTGCATTACTTTTTCAAGTGAGGACATTTTGGACTATTTGGATGATTACGACAGAACTCACGACATTCTTTTCCAACAGGATTATGATCACATGAAGAACCATTCTCATCGAGTCCGTTAACTGAATCAGGACCTTCCGAACATAAAATATTTCCAGTTAAAAATAACAAAGAAAATATTACTAAGTAAATTAATTTAAAAAACATTTTTTGGGAATTTTGGAATTAAAATATTTTTTTTTGAAAAATAGGGGTAATTCGAGACGTTTAAATACGCCTCGAAAAATACCTTTTTTGTGTCCATTTACGTTTTTATTCAATTATAATCTTTAATTTTTTGAAAAACAAAAAGTTCTTTTTTACCAAAAATATCACAAGTTTGCGGCTTTTAAAAAAATTTGCGAGGTAAAAGATTTAATTTTTCCTTTAAACTTAAATTTTGGGTATAGAAAAGTATTATAAATGTTTAATTAGCTGCTGAAAGTGCAAATTAAAAATAAAAATTAATATTTTTGGTATTTTGTTTGGGAATATACAAATTTAGAAAATAATAAAAAAAAATTTTTTTAGCAGAATTGATTTTTAATTTAATTAATTATAATTTAAACTTAAATAAAACATTTAATATTATTATTGTTAATAAATTTACACTATTTTTTGAATATTATCATGGAAAATACTCTTTAAATCACATAGTTAAAATAATATTATATATTTTGATTGGACTCATAAACTGTAGTAGAGCCCTTCTTACGCTCCCTCGTGAGTTAAGGTCACTAAAGTTCAGCTACTAATTTTATTTTCTTGCGATGTAAAAATAACTGAGGAGATGACAACCAGTGTTGTTTCAAAATTTTGATTTTTGAAGATTTCTTTGTTTTGAAACATCTCTTATGTTTCAAACCAAATTAAAAAACAAAATTTTCAGAATTTTATACAAATTGTGAATTTTATTGAAAAAAGACCAGCGTAAAAGTAAAGTAAAAAGACTTGTCCATAATTTAAAATAATATAAAATCAGAAATCCCAATCAAAATTTCAATTACTTCCCTTTATGTGGACATTGTCGATCTTTTGGAGAACTCTTACAGAAATCCTTACATTCTTGTCCATATGGATTAAGTTGACATGGGGTCTTTGAATGCTCACTTCTTTGAACAGGCCCTCTTTGACATAAATTATTTCCAGATAAAAATAATAAAGAAAATATTATTAAATAAATTAATTTAAAAAACATTTTCTTTTTTGGAATTTTATTTAAAAAAATTTTTTTAAGAAGGGGGAAATTTTAATTGTTTAAATACGGATAGAAAATACCCCTATATTATTTATTCAACTCTAATATTTTATCTATTGAAAAATTTTTTATATGAGAGTGTATTTCTTGGATCACTTTGGCTCGGATACTTTGAAGTCGGAAGAACTTTTTCTTTTACAATTCATCTATGTATGGAGGGTTTATATTTATTTAATTAATTGTTGAATATGTGGAAAATGTATATATTCAATTTATATTTTATTTGGCAATTATTGAATTTCCACGTTTCGAAAAAAAAATTTTTTTTAATTTATTATTAGCAAAATTGATTTAATTTAATAGAATTAATTTTATTTTATTGCCTAGTGGCGGGAATTTAGTTAAGAAAAAATATTTTTATTAATATTTCTTTAGATAAAATTGTTAGTTATTCCACTTCAATTAATTTTACATACATATTAAATAAAATTTTCAAAAAATATTTAAGTAAATTAGTATCAATATTTTTTTATTCAATAATTAAATCGTTGTTCAATTAAATTTCTCAAAGATTTGTGTTTACAACTTTTTGCACTTATAGCATCACTTATATCAAGCAAAACACCTTGGAAACGAACTTCGATAAAAACGGTTGGGGATATATTGTCGTTTGGACATTTTAGACGATAACCGATATGTTGACCCTTGAAATTATTTTTGAAAATTTTTTGAAACTTTAGATACCTGCTCTATATTCTGACGCCCTAAAGGTAGAGATTCAAGAAAGCGAGCATTGTAAATTCTAACTTCATAATCTAAAAATTAAAATAAGCATAGAAATAAGTAGTATTTTGTTAATTGTGTTGGAGTAAGTTGTGTAAGGGATAAATGAGGGGGAATTTAGGGGAAATGACCTTTGATGAATTCCAGGAATCAAGAAGTGGAACTATTTTTTGGAAACAATATCTTTGGGGCAATTAAAATAAGAGGGAGACCTTAAATTACAAAATTTATTTTTGTCTATTTATTATAATAAATTTATTCTCTTAGGGTCGTTCAAAGTGGACTAGGTTAAAAAATCCTCGTTATTGTGTAAAAATTATTCAGGATATCTCGATCTATCCCCAATTCTGTAAGCTAAAAATATATTTTTTTTAATTTTCAATTTTTAATTTTTACCATTCCACTTTCCAGCCCCAACAATAAATATTCCTTCATTAGTACAGCCAGTATAAGTCTGTGCCCCAGGTTCACTATTAACTCTAATTCTTCCAACCAATTCCCCTTCTATAGGTGAATATATTTTTGGAGTTCCCCATTCTTCATTTAAATTATTATTTTCTTCTTTTTTCTTCTCTTCCTCTTCTTCTGGAGAATTTTCTTCTTCAATTTGTTGAATATCTGGACATTTAATTTCCCATCCTCTAACACCGTTAAAACGACTTTTTTGAGAAAAATTGGAATTTTTTTGAAAATTTCTTTGTTTACCTGTCAAATTTAAATGACGGTCCTTCCAAAGCATTAATTCTGTTTGTCTCACAGACTTGATTTATACACATGCCTTTATAAAAACATTTTTATTCAGATAAGAGCTAAAGAAAAGCCTGTCCCTTCGGCTATATATGAGATATGTTCCGACTTTTCCATCTCTTTTTACCATTCAGAACCAAAATTTGTTTTTTTGAGATTTTTTGAGACCGAGAGATCAACAAGAAAAATTTGAGTGATATTTTAATAGATATCTCATGAATAGGGATGGGATTTATATGGACTATCAATCGAAAAATATGGACATATAATATGGACTAAAAATCTCAAAATATGGACTGAAATATGGACTAAAATCCAAAATATGGATAAAATATGGGCCGAAAACTGAAAATTTTTAACGGAAAAATTTCAATTTTTAAGCAGAAAATGTTAAATAAGTTAATTTTGATGCAAATTATTACAAATAAACCAATTAATAGTGATTATTTTGTTTCTAAAAATATTTTGGATAATATTTGAGTCGAAAATTTTTTGTCAAAATTTTTATAAAAAAATTTTCAAAAATTTTTCGAAAAAATTTTTTCAAAAAAGTTTTTCGTAAAAATTTTTGACCAAAAATTTCTTAAATTTGAAAATTTTAACCAATTTTTGGCAAAATTTTACAAAAAATGACGAAATATGGATAAAATATGGAAAATATGAACGTAACGCCTAAATATGAAAAAATATGGAAAATATGGATTGATAACTCAAAAACGGCCTTATCACCATATGCTAAAAACATGTTTTTTGGCGTTTCAGAACCCAACGAGTTCAGGAAAAAAATATGGAAATCCATATAAATCCCATCCCTACTCATGAACCCAAACAGCCTTATGAGGAATCTTTTCAAAATCAAGTGACAGCTCCCCTAATTGTAAGGGTCAAAGGTATTCTCGGAGTTTGTTTCCTATAGTTTATAGTCATTTTATTATTATTCATTTCCCTCCCACTTTTCTCACACATTTAAAAGGATTTGTAATCACCTTGCAAGTGTCTTATTGTTCATTCACTTTAATGAAATAAATAATGTTTTAATAAAGCTTTTAATATTTGGATTTAATAAATATATAAATTGTGTTCAATTGTGTATGCCTGGTGCAGGAGATCGACCGGGGGCCTGATCAACCCTTTGGTTCCTCTTAGGAAGTCCCGGGCATATCCCCTCCCGTATTCCATCATTCTGGGGTTTGGGCCCACCGCATGGTAATATCTTATTCCGGGGGTCCCACCTCTACTGGTAGCACCGGTCCTTCGACATCGACGTGGAACCGGGAGGTAGGTGTAATTTTTTTTTAAAAATTTATATATATTAAAACTTAAGTTAAAGGCCTATAAAATAATTTTTGAGTAAATAATGTAAGACCCAGGGCATTTATAAATTTTTGGGAATAATAAAAATAAATAATAAAATTTTAAAAAAAGCTTTATGGTAGCGCGCGTAAACCCATGTATAGACTTCCTTCGGGAAATAAATGGATTTAAAATAAATATATTATATTTTTCTCTCTATTTTCTTATTTCATAAAGTCTAATCTTCAGAATTTTCTTTCCTTCTCCTTCGGAAAAAAAGGAAAAACAAGAGTGATCTTCTGGAAGAGTATATTTGTTAGTAATTTATTGACTAGTTAAATTCTATTTTTGGGAGTAGATTTAAGATTAAATTCCTTCGGGAAATTCAAGGATTTAAACTATATTTTTCTCTTCAGTCTTTTCTTCAAGGTCTATATTTTTTAATCTAGCTATTTCCAGAAGTCTTAAATTTTTGTTAAAATAGGTGATGTTTTGGATTAAGTGGATATTTATTAAAATACATTTGGTTATTCTTGACCTTTGATCATTTTTCTATGTGCATTATTAATATATTTGTTTACTTTCTCATTCATAAATTCTCGTCCATTTTTTTTATTCTTTGCTTTTAAAATTTCATTTTCTTCCCACATTAACATTTTTAACTTTACAATAGCCTTCTTCCTAAGTGTTTGTTAATATAGGTGTGATACAATCTTGATTTTTCTTTTGTTTACTTTTCTAATTTTTCCTTCCATTAAATTACAATAATTTTTCTCCCGCCGACTATTTTCATTTTAAACTTTATCCTTTGAATATTTGTTTTTTATAAATAATTTTTAAACAATTTTTCAATCTTTAATATTTTAATTTATAGTCTCTATTAATATTTCCTAAGTATTTTTTTATCAAATATCTGTTTAAAAATATTTGAACAATCCTTTTTACATATTTACACTTATCAATTTAATGATTTTTTTCACTAATTTCAGAGTCCTAAAAAACACTAAATTTTAAATTTATTTTTATTTGGCTTTGGCTACTATCCGGATTTGAATTTTGGCATTGTAAGTTAAAAAAAAACATTCCCTAAAAATATTATCAAATTAAAAATAAATTTTCCAACCCTTTTCAATTCTAAATTAGTGATTTTTCAGAAATTTGACTCATTGTGATTGGCGTTGACTTATTGTGACTGTGAGCGTGAATTACCGTTTTGGATTGGAAGTGAGTTAAAATTTAAAAAAAAACTCAAATAAAATTTAATTTTCTCTCCTTCTCTCTAAAACTCTCTAAAATCCATTTTAATTTTTCTGATACATATTTTATACAGTATATATATTTTTTTGGCATTTTAATTATTTTTAAAATATTTTATTTTTGTCATTTTAGTTGAAATTTTTGTACACTTCTTCAATTTCTACTTAGAAACTATGTTTTTAAGGGTATTTAAAGAAAAATCTAATTTTTAGAATATCTCCCTTAGTTAGAAAAATTATTATTTTTTTCATTGAAAATTTTGGATTAATTTTAAAATGCTGAAAATAAAATTTTAAATTATTTTACGGCCTAGGATTTGGCAATGCCCGGTTATTTTACTATTACTTTCTAAGTATTTATTGTATAGATTATTTTGTTTGTTTATTAATTGGTTTTCCTTTCTAATTAGTTCCTTTTTCTCTCTTATTTTTCTATCTATTCATCTATTCAATAGTTTTTTTTTCATTGAGTTTTTCCCCCTCTTACAGTAAATATTTTAAATTGAAAAGAGAGAAAATATATACAAATAAATTTTCTTTTAATTGGCTGAAATTAAAATGAGAGCTTAGGAATTGATAAATGGAAATATTTAGACTAAAAGTGAGAAAATAAATTTTTTTTAAAAGAAAATATTTCTGGGATGAAATTAAATGTTAAAAAAAAATTTTTTTTTAGTTTAGCCGAAATTACTAATTTCTGATTATTTTCTCTCAAATCTTTCACTGTATTAAACACTCTACTGAATATGCTCTCATTATACTTTCCTTCCATTATTCTAAATAGTATTAATTTATTCTCTTCTTATAAACCTTCACCCTTTAATGATTTTATTTCATATTTTAATAAGGGTTTCTTTAAACATATTCAGTTTCATTATTTATATTCCCCTTAGTTTGAAAAAAGAAAAACTTTTGGTATGAAAAAATTTTAGCCGATATTTATCGATAAAAATAGAAATAAAAGAAAAGAAAAAGTAGCTCTTTACGTTATATTTTTCAGTTATATTTTTCACTCATCTAAATAGGCTAAAATTTCTTTTCATATTTTGAAACAGTTTCTCATCGATGCGTAACTTAACAGATTGGACCCATTAAACTGTAATATACTCACCAATCTTTAGTGTATTAACTTAATTTAAATGTGCTATATTAATTACATTTATTTGGATTTCTCTTAAAAGCTGTCTTAATTTATAAGAGAAATAATACAAGAGAAACAGCAAATAAAACTTTTTAAATAAAATTAATAATAAAATTCAGAGATTAATGATCCGGTCCTCCTATTTATTGAAAATTGGGAGTTATTTTTATATGTGGGCAAAATGACTAAAATTATACAATTCTTTTAGTAAAATTTGGGGAAAATAACCACTCTTATTTATTCACTCTTCGATTATTCAGAAGAAAATTCTGTAATTAAGAATTTTATTTGCTGTTTATTAAAATCATAATTTATTTGAAAAGTGTATCAATTGTGACAAACAAAATAATAATCTGCTCTAAGAATTTTAACTCCTATTTTAATAGATACATTTAAATTTGAAGGAGAAAAAGAGAAAACTAATTATTCTTTTATAACTGTAATCCACTCTAACTGTAATCCATGTATTAAATGTATTTTTTTCCTTTCTTTCTCTCCTCAAATTAAACTTTGTTTTGAAGGAAAGTAAATTCCCTCATAGGTGGTAATGAAATATCTATAAAGAAAATATTTTATACGGCTTAGGCTACAATATGAGTAAGATTTGGGCTCTGAACTAGTAAATTCTGGTTTTAACTAAAAATAAATAATTCTAATAAGAGTATCTATAAATTTGGCATCCATGGTTGATTTTTTTTCTTTTCATTTTTCTTTCTTTCTTTAGAATCTTGTTATAACCTAATTTCAATTTTCACGTGGTAATTGAGCATCAAAAAAAAAAGTTAAAAAAAAAGTTATAGCAACTTTTAGATTTTTGAATTTATGCTTAATCGATGCTTAACTTAACAGACCGGACGGGTCATGCCGCTACATCTTTGCTAAATTTATTCTATTACAATGAATAGGATCTTCTATATTTGTTCATACCCGTTCTACTTTAACTGTCATAATATATTAAATTTATTTTAGAATCCTTACGCTAATATTTTCCGTTATTTATCGTTCTAAATTTGGTGTTTTATTTGGCTTACTTAATTACCTTTAAATATTTTTCCCCTTTCCTTCGAACAAGTTTAATATTTAATATTAAAAGTTACTTGTAGTATAATTATTTCTAATGAGATGAATTTTTACTTCACAAGATTATTAAAAAGAAATTCTGTTTTGAATAACAAAAATGTCATAATTTTCTTAAGATGTTTAAATTTTATATTGTGCAATTCTTTAATAATAGGGCTTTATTCTTCTCCAAAATTTCCCTTTAAAATCTAAATGGCAGCTCAAAGCAATATTTATTAAAATTGTTTTTAGAATATATTGATTTTTATTAAAAATTCAT